TGTGTATATATACACGCATGTGTATACGTATATGTGTGTATATATACACGCATGTGTATACGTATATGTGTGTATACACACATACGTATACGTATATGTGTGTATACACACATATGTATATGTTTATGTGTGTGTATACACACACATATGTATACGTATGTGTGTGTGTACACACATATATGTATATGTGTATGTGTGTATATACACACACATATGTATATGTGTACATATACACACACAGACCACATCTTCTTTATCCATTCATCCATCAATGGGCATTTGGGCTCTTTCCATACTTTGGCTGTTGTCGATAGTGCTGCTATAAACATGGGGGTGCACGTGCCCCTTCAAAACAGCACACCTGTATCCCTTGGATAAATACCTAGTAGTGAAATTGCTGGGTCACAGGGTGGTTCCATTTTTAATTTTTTGAGGAACCTCAAAACGGAACTGACTCTTGATACACGCAGCTACTTAGATGTATCTCCAGAAAGTTGTGCTGAGTGGAAACAGCTAATGTCAAAAAAAGTTACATACTGTTTGATACCATTTATATAACATTCTCAAAAATTATAGATCTGGAGAAGAGATATTTGCAGGGGACGTGGATGGGGAGTGGGGTAGGGGTGGGCATGGGTACAAAGAGACCATGGGAAGAAGTTTGTGGTAATAGATTGTATCCTGATTGTGGTGGTGGTTACCCAAATCTGTATATGGGGTAAAATTGCATACAACAACATTCACATCCATGCATATGTGACTATGAATGTAGGCTTAGACACTTGTGGAAACTGAATAGGGTCTGTAGTCTTTTAACTGGTCAGTTTCCTGGTTTTGGTAATGTACTACAGTTCTATAAGATGTCACCATTGGGGAAGAAGAGCGAATGATACTTTGGACTCTTTATACTTTTTTCTTAACTTTTAATTATTTCAAAATAAAAAGTTTAAAGTTAAACTTAAGTTTAAAGAGTTAAACTCCGTCCAGTGGAGTGAAAAGCAGGACTGTCGGGTTGATGACTCCTGGGCTCCTTCTCTTTCCTGCAGTGGGAGGGACTTTGCCATGACTCAATTTCTCATGGGACCAGGGGCCTACAAGAAGTCCAAGATTTGGGCAAGCTGGACCTTGAATCTAAAAATTTCATTCTTCTCCTGCAAGGCCGCTCTCACCTTTTCCCTATTAAAAGGTGTCTTGCAGCTCAGCCTCTTTGGAGTGTTCATCTAGACCTCTGCTCAAGATGGCTGTCTACTGAGTACTTGAAGAAGGTGACCCTGTTCCTGCTAATCCTTCTCACCATGAGTTCCAGGCCATTCCAGGTGAGGCATGGTGGTGTGTGCTCAACCCCTTTGATCAACCGACCTGAAGGTGGAAAGGGAGGGAACCAGGTGGATAATTGGGGCAGAAGGAAGAGCCAGTGCCAAGACTCTCCAAGGCAGGAGTGTGCCCAGCGTGTTGGAGTCTGAAATGCAGTTGAGTGTAGGCGTTAGTAGCCGGAGAGGTGATCAGAGCACTGACAGGAATTCAGGTAAGTCTCGTACGGAAGCCTCGTGTGCCACTGTGAAGGCTGGATTTTATTATGAGTGATATGAGGAAGCAATGGAAGGTTCTAGGCAGTGTGGGGACCAGATCTCACTTGTATTTTCACAGGATCCCTCTGTTTGCTGTGTTGGGATCGACTTCTGGGAGCTTGGTGGGGGGCAGGCAAGGGCAGAAAAGGCTGAGTTCTGAGGTGTTTATGGGTGTGTAAAGCCAACAGGCTTCACTGCTATTCTCCCGGTAATGGGCAAGAAAAATGGAGGAGTCGAGGATGACGGTGTTAGCCTACTCCTTCGTGCTGCATGAGCCAGACGCACTGGGTAGACTTTTAAACAATAGTTACAGGGTCATAACCTGTATTTTCTTTCATTACTCAATATTGAGAACTATTTCAAAGTCGGCATACTGTGAACCATTTCCAAGTTAATATAGAAACATATTCCTTTTAATGTTTGATATCTATTATGTGGCAATACCATGAGTCATTTAAGAAATCCACTGTTGATAGGCGTATTATTTTTCCGTTTGGTTTTCTGGAACAAGTGGAATGATCTGATAGCCTTGGCCAATAGATAATAATCTATCGGGTGAGTCTGCACTTCTGTTCATTTCCTACAGCTAGATAGTCTATTGTAAACTGCCTAAATATTTATTTTCAGAACCTACTTTTTTTCTTCCTGATTGCCAGAATAATACATCTTTATTTAAAAAATATATGTTACAGGGGTGCCTGGGTGGCTCAGTCTGTTGGGCGTCCCTTCGGCTCAGGTCATGATCTCGCAGTCTGTGAGTTCAAGCCCCACGTCATGCTCTGCGCTGACAGCTCAGAGCCTGGAGCCTGCTTCAGATTCTGTCTCTATCTCTGTCTGCCCCTCCCCTGCTCTCACTGTGTGTCTCTCTCTCTCTCTCTCTCAAAAAAAAATGAAAACATAAAAAAATATATATATACATATATATGTATGTATGTATGTTAAGGATTTTAAATGAGACTTTTCTTGTCACCAAGCTTCAAACAAGGCCCCAAAGACTGAGCACAATAGCTAATAGCCCGAAGGTGCAGAGAATGCTAAGAGTATGACATTTTTTTGTGACCCTTAGTTTACCGCCCACCTTGGGGGTTAAATACAGGGGGGATATAGAGGATTGAGCAAGACGCTTAATAGATTTCTTTTTAGAGAGTTTTTGAGTACTATAAGAATGTTCTTTGGTGAAGGAAAGCCTAAGCTTTGCGGGGCGGGAGCGGGGGGTGGGGATTAGTTCACAGAACCCCTCTGAGAGCTTTATGTGTGTCCCCTAGAGTCTGGGGACTTAAAATTATTTTCATGCTAAAGGCAAAAGGAGAGGACTGTGGTGGGCGACTGACTGAGCTGCTATCAATGAGTGGAAGGCGTACATGCATTACTGTGAGCCAAGTGGGACCCCAGGAAGGCTTAGACGTGCAGGGGACCCAAGGCAGGTTGGGTGATCCCAGCAGCAGAGACGGATATTGGGGGAGGGCCATCCTTTGGAAGCCAGGCCTGTGCAGAGTTTAATGAAGCCTGTGGGAGGAGGCAGTGGTTTGTGAAGGAAGCACTGGGAGATCCCCACTGGAACAGCCAGACAGAAGGAACCCGGGACCCCAGTGAGTATGAAACTACCATATTAGACCCATAGCTTCCCCCCCTACCCCCGGAGTTTT